GAGAGAGAGAGAGAGAGAGACAGAGACAGAGACAGAGACAGAGACAGAGAGAGAATGTTAAAATAGCAATGAACCATGCTTCAGGGTCAAGGTACATTCAACCTTTGATTCTAGCCTTACTTTTCCCCCAACTATAAACTTCTAAGAACATTACAAAGAATAATTACCCGGTTTTCAGTCAGGCACATCTCTTAACTCCCTTATGACTTAATATTGTTACAAGGATTATGCTCCACTCTCCCCTTGGCTCTCCAGCACTCTCGAAATCTCTGTTGAATTCACATAAGACAGGGCATAAAGTAGAAGACAGGTAGATTTTATTATGGAACAGCATGAGCCACTTTGAAGACTGGACAGTGACCATTGTGAAGGAAAACACTCACAGGGAGATCTAAACATGCTGACTTACATGTTTATGGAAACTTTACACTATTTTCTGAGGTTTCAGGAACAGGTAGCTTTCCCGTCCAGGTAACTGACAGCCCCCTTTGAATTAATCTTCAAAGAAGAGGATAGCAGTTTGTGTTCTTTACAAGGAAGCCTGCTAGATAATATTCTTAAAACCTTGTTGGAAATTCAGAAACTCATATCTCCTCCTGGGGCAGAGATGAGACTCAGATTCCATTCTCTACATTAAAACTCATGTAACACAGTGGATCTTAAAATTAAGAGGAAACATAACGTATTGTCATAGTTTGAATAAGAATGCCCCCATAGGCTCATATATTTGAATGATTGATCATCACAGAGTGGTACTATTTTAGAGAGATTAGGAGGTGCATTCTTGTTGGAGTAGGTGTGGCCTTGTTGGAGATGTGTGTCATTGAGTGTGGGTTCTAGGGTTGCAAAAAGCCCAAGCCAGCCCCAGTCTCTGTCTGCCTCTCTTCTCCTCTCTCTCTTCTCCCCCCCTCTCTCCCTCCCTCCCTCCCTCCCTCCCCGCTCTCTGTGCCTGTGGATCCACATGAAGAACTCTCAGCAACTTCTCCAGTACCGTGTCTGCTGTGTGCCGATGGTACCTCCCGTGATGACAATGACAACTAAATGTGTTCCTTTATAAGAGTTGCCATCCATGTTCTTTACAGCAGTAGAGCACTGAATAAGACATGTGTCTATAAAAATAGTCATGCTTTACCTCTTCTACCTTCACCTTTCCCCCTTTCATGTGGTATTCGAAATCTTTATGTACTTTCCTTTTTGCATCATTTCATTCACTTTCATCTTTACAGCAATATAGGGTGTGTATTTTATTTACATTCACAGGTACAAACAAAACCTGAAGTAGTAAATACTAATGTGCAGGTAAAGCAGTTGGTAGATTCTGTGTTGTATGTGTCTACCAATATGATAGAGGTATGTACATGTATAGGTGTTGTGTGTGTGTGTGTGTGTGTGTGTGTGTGTGTGTGTGTGTGGTTGAGGTGCATATGCATACTTGGGAGCTTCATATATACAGTTAGGGTACACACATATAGACACAACTATATACATTATAGATATAGACATATGTATGTATATAGTTGAGGGAGTCTGTGTATCCAAGTCCACCCTCTAGGGGTTGTTGGGATCCCAGATGATTACATGGAGGAGATATGCTCTGGAGCCCTGTCTCCCTGATTAGGAAGGTTAGAGTTTTATTTAACCCACTGGTTCACGTTCCAGAGAGTTCAGAAAACAGGGGGCTGGTTATAGTAAACATAGTGATTTTATCTTTTCTTGCAAATCCGCGGTTAAGCTGGAGGAGGGAAAGATGGCATCATTGTTACCAATGAAAAGATTCACATCCCAGTGATTAATTCTGAGAAACTGATGGTCAAGGATCATGCTCTGGGAGTGGGAGGCATTTCTTTCCCATCATGTCAAAAACCAGTGGCAGGGGAGATGTTTGGGCAGGGAAAGAAGTCCTACAGTAGGGCTCACTATGTATGTTGGTAAATGAGGGTCAAATACCCTATAAAGACAGTAGGCTGGATATGGCTGAA